CGAAAAGGGACATGATCTTCTTGAAGCAACCATCCTCTGCTACCAGCTGGGTTGTCAGCTTCAAGAAGATCATGTCCCTTTTCGCATAGCCATTCCTCCATACCACATCCCAGATTTTGTCATACAAATCAAAACTGACTTCACTGCAAACTCAGCAGCTCAGGGACTGTGCAATAGTTGAGCTCTGTGAATACTTGCAATGTTGAGCATAACCCTGTCCCAGTGGTTTAGAGAAAGAGATACCAAGCAGGTTCTCTACAAAGAGTCAAAAGTGCATATGCCTGAAATATGGCTGTACCCAGCCCTGCAGTACCACAGCAGTCAGTTTTAGTTCTGTGATTTTTGACCTGTTTCTCACTCTTCTCCTTCCTCTTCCCACAGACAATGCTAAAGTTGATTCAGAAGAAGTTGGCTGATAAAACGGTGAGTGTTTCCCCAAAAAACATATACATAGTGTATTTTCTCCTCAGTCTGACTTAGGCATGTCAGCCCAGAGTGCCAGCTCAGCTTCTCTAACACACACAGGACATCTCAGCTGATGCTGCAGAATTTCCTGTCCCAGGGTGAGGGCAGGGGAATGTGACAGGGAGGCAAAAATATTAAACAAAAAACCCACTTGTTGACAAGTTCAAAGTGAATAACAAGCATGTCTTACCTCTGGAGTCATCCAGGGTGATACCAGAGAGGAAACAAGTGGTTGGTTTGCACCAGGCTCCCACATTAGCAAAGCTCTGATTATGTCCTTTTCTTTTTGGCTCTATAGTGTGATCAGGTGATGGAGTTCTCCTGGAGTGCCCTCTGGAACATCACAGATGAGACCCCTGACAACTGTGAGATGTTCCTTAACTACAGTGGCATGAAACTGTTCTTGGAGTGCTTAAAAGTAAGTGTGTGATTGCCTCTAGAGAAAAGCTGATACTAGCTATGGAGATGCAGGTGCTGGGCAGGATCCCTGGCTCTGCTCCTCTACAAGCAGTACTTTCTAGGTTGCACAGACAAAAGGAAATGCTTGTGCATGTTCTTTCCACCCAGCCAGAATAACGGAAGAGCTTACACTCAACACATCCTCCTCTTTCCCCATCTTTGCTCAGTCCCCCTGAGCAGAGCAGCAGTGAACAGTGGGCCCTGGTGTCAATTCCCTCACTTCACACATATCTTTAGCACTAGAGATCCTCCTGCTAAGGAGCTGTTTCTGGCTACCCAAAAATACTGAGCCTTTCTAGATGCACTGTACAGCCTCTCCCCAGAGCTGCTTGTTCTCAGCATCACCATAGTCCTACCTGTGTCTAATCCTGTCCTTTGCTCATCCAGGAGTTCCCAGAGAAACAGGAGCTGCACCGTAACATGCTGGGGCTCCTGGGCAACGTGGCAGAGGTGAAGGAGCTGCGCCCACAGCTCATGACCTCCCAGTTCATCAGTGTCTTCAGGTGAGTGCCTGCCTGGGCTCTGGAGCTCTGAATCACCTGCAGACTGGTAAATCTTTGGTGTGTCAGCCTCTCTAAGTGATCTCTTCTCTCTTGGCAGTAACCTGCTGGAGAGCAAAGCTGATGGGATTGAGGTATCCTATAATGCCTGCGGAGTGCTCTCCCATATCATGTTTGATGGTCCAGAGGCTTGGGGGATATGTGAGCCCCACCGAGAGGAGGTTGTGAAGAGGATGTGGGCAGCCATCCAGAGCTGGGATATCAACTCCAGGAGAAATATCAACTACAGGTGAGGAGTGGAAGAGTTTGGCTCACTCACCAAGGAGCCAGGATTGCAAACACCAACAGAGAGAAAGGAAGAGCTATAGCCCAGCATGGAGGCTCTGTTCAGAGTGAAGGAGAAATGTCCTCAAGGACATATTTTTTAGCAAGGATTTTATATCTCCCTTTGAAACATGTTACCCAAGCTGCTGAAATTAGACACCTTGCCTGGCAGTTCCCTATGGGGGAAGTTTGGGAGCCCAACAGATTCATGTTTCTGGTGAAATTGAATAGTACAGGAAACCCATGATCTGTCTGGGACTGCCTAAGCATTTTCCTCTGAGACTGCAGTTCTCTGCACCTCCTTAAGTCTGTTTGCTTCCCAGAGCCACCTGCAGTAGCTTTCCCTCTTCTCTGGGGGATATTTAACAGTTCCCATAAATCCCTTCAAGGATTAATACAACTACTGGAATCCCCCAAAACCCTTCCTGTAAGAGGGTATCAGGTACTCTGTATTCCCTTAGTGCTTGTCAGGGATCCAGAACTGACATTCCAGTGCCTGTTCTACAGTATAGACACATCATTGTCAGAGGAAACACAGCAGCACCCCTTGCTCCTGAGCAGCCAGCTTTGCCTGGGTACAGTTTGGCTTTGTCCCTTCTACAGACTGATCAGTTCTGCTAGGTTTCAGCTGTCACAAGGAAATGCCTGATGGAGGATGGAAAATCAGTTCTTGGGCTCAGTTGCCTTCATTGCAGCTATTTATCTGGGCAGCATGTTTGTGCTGAAGTGGTGGGACCTGTAATCCTGCCAGCACTGCCCTGGGACACAGCCTTGGTGCCAGAATCATTAGTGTGCCAATGGATTCACTGTTGTGATATCTGTGAGCAGAGTTTGTATTGCTGTGAGTGCCAAAGGTGCTGAAAGCAGCAGGTTTCAGATTTTGAACAACGTGCAATATTTCTGTGCAGGTCATTTGAACCAATCCTTCGACTTCTTCCGCAAGGGATCTCCCCAGTCAGCCAGCACTGGGCCACGTGGGCACTCTATAACCTGGTCTCTGTCTACCGTAAGTTCCCTTTTGGAAATCACATCCCCTGGGGCTGTAGAAGTTGAGGGGGTGAACCTGAGCTTGTCAGCAGAAAAAAACCTTCCCAGTTTAGCTATGTACATAGAGAAAACCTTCTTTGAATGATGCAAGAGTGTCCAGGCAGCACAGCCAAACAAAAACAATGAGACTTGGTGTGTAGGAAATTCCTTCACTGTTTTGATCCTTCTATGTTCTCAGTCCCTTTGTGCCTTGTTTCCACAGCCTTAGCAGGCTGGCTCTGGGAAAAACAAAAGTTCTGTGCTTTCTCAGGCCACAGGCTCCTCCTTCCCCTGCTGCCACTCTTTGTTGCACTCTTGTGAGGGTTCACAAGGACCTGTTCTGTTCTTTTCTCTGCAGCTGACAAGTACTGCCCACTGCTGATCAAAGAAGGTGGGATTCCCCTTCTGAAGGACATGATTAAAATGGCCTCAGCACGGCAAGAGACCAAGGAGATGGCCCGGTAGGACACCAGTGCACTGTCACAAACATTCCCTTCAGCTTTAGTTTTTATTCTTCCACATCAAGTGAGGCTGCAAAAAGCAAGGCCTGTGCTGGTGTGGGAGGGGTATGAAGTGAACACAGGAAAAAGAGGATGAAAACACAGGATTAGAGTTGTTTATAGCTGTGCAATACACACAGATCATTGGCAGGCAAATTGATTATAGGAGTGGCTTGTTGGCCTGGGCTGATTGCAGCTCTGAGGCCAATAGTCTCAGGTCATCAGTGGTCTCCACACTTGTTTGGGCTCCCTGTCTCCAGAATCATATTGGCCTGTGACTAAAACTGCTGACTGTACAGGTAGAGAGAGTCCATCACCTCTGTGAACTTTGGAATGTGATCTTCCTTTGGAGTCATCCTTGCAGAGTTTTAAAAAGCAGCTGCAGTTTCTGGCCATTGGCAGCATGAGAGCTGTAATTTCATACCTGTAAGATGAACATAAGAGAGGTAGAGGTTGGCTGGGAATACATTCCTGGTGGGTGGGCAGCAGGTGTTGGCCACAGCTGAAGGGTTGCTGAGTGCTGGAGGAACTGGAACCTGCAGGAAACAGTCACAGTTAGGCACAGTGAGGAGACAGGTGACAGCAGAGTGAATGACAAACATCTGTACACACACGTGTCCTGATGGGATTCAAAGGTGCCTGAGGATGTGGATGTGATGAAGGGACAGTCACATATGGATCTGGATATGCACTACCATGACTTGACATCCCAAACTGGAAACTTTAAGCTGAGTTTAGTGATTTTGACACAAGTTGATGCATGTCTTGGATACAAATCATGTGCAGCTGCACAGAGATCAACTGTGGGACAGTTCTTACATTCCTGTCCCACATATAAGCTTTAAACTAAACCCTCTCTCCTTGTTTTATCCATAGGAAAGTTATAGAGCACTGCAGTAACTTTAAGGAGGAGAACATGGACACTTCCAGATAGAGGCAATCCCCCCATGCCTCTTGCCAGCACTGTATCCAGCTTCTCTCTAACTCACTGTACATAGGGAGGACTCTTTCTTACCAACTTGCCCGTTGGAAGGAAACTTTATGTGTGTGTGTGAGACCCTCAGTAGATGAAGGTGAACAGGGGAGGGGGGAGGGACTTTTTGCACAACAAAATGCTTTCCTTAATTTAGTGGACTTTTTTTTTTGTTATGAAGTTTCAGGTTGAAGTTCTGTGTGTATGATTTCTGTATAAAAAGAAAACGAAAAGCAAAGACAACTACATTATGTATCTTTTAACCTTTTTATTTTAGACCACACAGAGAGCCTCAAATGACCATGAGCTTGAAGACCTAATTGTGTGATCACTAGTGTGACATGTTTATTTCCCACTTCTTAGACAAATCCCTTTTGCTGTACTGCATGAGGTCCTGTAATGTCTGCAAGAACACCAGTCCTGAATGGGCATTGGTTGCTCAGTGAGGCTACAGGCAATGACGAGTTATTTTTTTCAGAGAGGTTGGGGGACACAATCCCTGAGAGACAGACCAAAACAACTGAGCTTTTAGTGATATTTATAAATAGAGGAACTAGGGAGGAAAGATCTTTCAAGTCAAATTACTCCCTTAAGGGTTTTTAATACAAGGCTCACATTAATGGAAGTGATCTGAGTCATTTGGAAGTAAGACATTCCCAATAAAGTCAAGAGGTCTGTTTTGTCCCCTTGGCAGTTACAGTAGGATCTGCCAACCCACTCAGCCTCATAAGGTCAGGGATGACCAGTAAAACCAGTTATACATTCTTGGCTTTTCTCTCAAAGAGACCCTGTGCAACAAGGCACCAGGTTTGTTCACAAAGGGCTACACATCTTCATTCCAGTCCTTCACCACGTTTTTAGTTGTGTTCTGTTGTGTGGGGAAGGGCTACAAAGCCAAACAGAGGATTTCCCTCTGCATAATTAACTCTCCTAGGTCCTGGTCCAGAGCAGCTTGTGCCCCTCATGCAAGTCCAAATAACAGACTGGAGCTGTTGGTTTCCTCAGGCTGCATCAGCACAAGCCCTGCTCAGTGCCACAGTAATCTCCCTCTACAGGGAGCCCACTGCAGCAGCACAACTGCTGGAACTGGAGGTGCTGAAGGTTTCTCCTAAGACTAGGAAGTTTCCAGGCACCTTTTGGAGGGCAAGCCCATGAAATGGCACCTCTTGTTTCACCCCAACATCTTCCCCTTCTTCTCAGAAGTACCTATTCTTCTCTGACTCCCAGTAGCACTTCCAGTGCAGTCCCCCTCCCCTCAGCAGCATCGCTGCAGTTTGTGTGCTGCAGGTGAGAGGAGAGTCCCACTTTGCTGCTCTTCACCTGTAACACTCCAGACCTGTAGAGGCTCAAGCAGACCAAGGCCAAGGTTTGCCTCTCAGTCCATGTTACAGCCTGCTGCTTGCCACAGCTCCTTCACAACTCCTAAACCTCCCCTTAGAAGGGATTTAGAGAAGATTTTGTGCCTGATAGCAGAAGAGGAGCCCATGGCCATGTGAGTTGGGACATTTCAGGCCTCTGAGCACAGTAACTCGCTGCTCTCTTCCCTTGTACACATTGCTCAGATTTGACTCGCTGCTATGAGGTTCTGCTAATGCTCAGAGTTCATATTGTCCTTGTGAGCACATTAGAGACAGATCCTTGATACACAAACTGACACTTTAACTGACAGAACACAGCTGCCCTGCAGAGGTTTACTTTTTCTGCCAATATGGTGTTATACAATGTCTTTTATTTTTTCTTTTTAACCATACGTCATTTGTTTCGGTATTGTGAGATCTGTACTTTTTTTCTTTTGAGTAATTTTCAAACTTATATATATTTTTGTGTCACTTTTGAATTGTTTTCTTAAGATTTGCAAAACTTGACAAATGATACTTTTTTTTTGCAGTCGTTTGAAATGCAATTTTCTCTCTCTTGTTCCTGTTCCCCAAGACTTTGTGTCTCTATGAGCTTTGAGATGGGGAAGCTTATTTCAAGATCTGTTTTCTGTGTAACATTTGCTAATCTTCCATCTAGAAGCAAAACTAAGAGGGGCTGTGAGGCAGCCTTAGTGTGTTAGGGGAGTCAGGCTTTGCTCTTTAGTTCCTCATGTAGTGCTGCTGTCCTTCTGAAGTTGTCTCACGTAACAGTGCCACCCACCAAGCTTCTTCCTTCCTACTGCCCGTGTAGTGAAAGCTCCTGCCACTAAAATCTTGAATCACCTGGCAAAAAGCACTCAAGATTCTGACTGTGTTGGCAAGGTGGGAGTGGAGCAGAAGGGGACACATCACAGGTGGAGAGGTATCAGGAAGCCTTGTCCCCAGAATGCAGCTGCCATGCTGGGGAGACAGTGGAGCTGAGGAACTCAGAGCACACCTCAGCCTTGCATTGCAGTCAAGCTTTGCTCTGAGATTTTGGCACAACTACATCAAGGCTAATGAACAACCAGTGGTTTGGTTCCACCTGCCTCAGGAGTCCAAAGCTTTGGGTTTTCCAAACCAGTGCCCCCCACAAGCTCAGCTGTGACTGGAGTCTCACCTGCTGCAAGCTGGACCACAGCATCCCAAGCTAACAAGATCCAAACTGCATCAAAGCTTTGTTCCACAATGTAAAGAAAACCTCTGTCCTCACTGCTCACCCTCAGCAAGCTGTACCTGAGCCTGGACCAGGATGAAAAGATTTCAAATTCCAACAAGGAGATTAATGGAGTCAGGCCAGTCTGCCAGAAAAGCTCAGCCTGCTGAAATCTGTCACTGATCCCTGGAGAAAGGGGGAACCATGACTGGGCTGTTACAGGAAGCTACATCTGAGATTTTGAGTCAGGCCACCAGCAAGGTAAATTCCTGAGACAGCATGTTTAAAGGAGCAACAACCCTGTTAGAGTAACACCAGGTTTGCCTACAAGCTTCGATGTCTTCAAGCCAACCAGACTTTGTGAGCTGAAAAATAGCATCTTCCCTTCAGTAAAGAGCAAAAGAGAGAAGAGTATCCTCTGAGCACAATTCCTGTAACTGGAAGTTTGAAACTAGTTTGTTCCTCAGTTTCCCTGACTGAAACAACAGGACTTGTTGCACCTCAAGCATAATGCAAGTACCAAGACCTGAAAGCACTTTTTGGAGGCAGAGTTAAATGCTGCCATAGATCCTGAGCTGAGGACAGAACAGGAGAGTTGCCTGTAGACATCATATCAATATTCTCCAAAGGAGGAGAGGGCAGAGTGGCTGGTTTTTTTATGAAGACCTAATGTAAAAGGGTAAGTTGATACCCTGAAATGCATGGCTGTTCCAGGGAAGCCTTTCAGGCCTTCCAGCTTTGCTGGACCTAAGGAATGAACCAGGAGACTTCAACATTGACACAGAGTTATAGAGCTGACAACCAACCCTGCCCAGAAAACCAGGTTTGAAAATCCAGCTGGAGAGAAGCCCACAGCATGTAAAGGTGGGGCAGAGGGGCTCCTTGTGCTCTGGAGCTGTTGGCCCACTCAGACTCTTTGTCATGTTTTCACTACTACATCTCCTCTAATATTCCAAAGCTTGGCAAGCAGAGCACAAACACAACTCAGTAGCTCCCTGCAGAGACTGTGCCAACAAAGGAATCCTCTACCTGGACTGTGTGGATTTCCCTTCCTGGCTGGAGGTTCAGTGGC